TCTTTTAGAAGATAGGGTGCTATAAGAAAAAAACAAAACAGAAAATCAGTTGAAAAATGACTAGAGTGGCCTAGATTTTTTTTTCTCTAATGTGTTCCATAGCTTCTCAGAGATCTTTTTCTTCCTTCAAAAAAAAAAAAAAAAACGTGATTAAGTAAAATAAATTTGCATATATAGCAATACCAAATTGAACAGTAAAAGGCATAAGAAAAGTCTAAAGTTAGATGATCAGGTCAGTTTAATTAGTTCTTTTCCCCCTGCTAATATCCAATGCCTGTCCTCAAGGTTGCCCTTCTTAGTGGCCTGTTAATTCACTCCTGTCTACTGTCAGAAAGAGATTCCTGGGAAGGGGTGCTGCTTAGGACAGGGATTCTTTGTTGGAGCAGAGGAGGAGCCTCAAGATTACTGTCTTCGTCCTGTAGAAGGCATTACAGAAGATCTGTTGCTGGCATTTGCAAGGGGAACAACAAGGGCTGTCTCCTCTTCAAAGGAGCCAAAGACAAGTAAAGAACCTATGTTTGTCTCACCCTTCACCTCCTTTCCTACCATAATGCAATAAATAAAGCCCTCACTGCTGGTACATAGAAAAGGCTTGAGATATCTGGTGAATTGCAGGTCCCAATGTTGAATGAGTGCTCAAAGAAGTTATATCCTGGGAATTAATTTCACTCCTGGAGACTGTTGGGTCACACAAGATATTGAAATTTGGTGTAGCATATGAAAGTCTATTACAATATAGATATTAGTAATAATATTTATATAGCATTTACTATGTGCTAGGTACTATTGGCAGTTTACATGTAAGAAATCTTTTCATACTCTTAGCAATCCTGTAGGGGGGATACTTTTATTATCTTCATTTTGCAGATGAAGAAACTGTGGCACAGAGAGATTGGACTATTTGCCATGATCACACCGCTAGTAAATGGTGGCATCAGGATTGAAACCCAGGCAGGCCGGGCCAGGGTCCTGTTCAGGCCCACTGGCTCCTAGAAATTTCCTCAGTGTATGAGCCACTCCTTTCTTTTCAAACCCACTGTGTCGCCTAGAGGACAATCTGGACTTGGATACTTTTCTAGAGAAGGGAAAAAGACCAGTCATCTTCTTCCATCTTGGAAAGTGGGACTTTGCCTAACTGGCTTTACAGAGGTGCCAACCTTCTAGACTATAAACACTTCAAAACTAGGAGATAACTTTTCTTTCTTCCTTGTGCAGTGCATACTCAGTATGCGTTGGGCAAGTGTCAGGGAACTGGAGGTCTGCATCTTGGTAGACAATCCTTTGGTTCTAATTCTCTGCATGTTTGCAACATAGCTGAATGGAGAGGTCATATTTTTGGTTAGTAATTTTTGTTTGTTTGTTTCTTGGGCACTTTTTTCCCCTTTGATGGACTCAAAGCAGGGCATTTGTAATTTAGCAAGTCTCCAAAAGCTGATTCTCTTCTTTTTCCTGTTTCCTTTTAGTAATCCCTATCCCACACTTTCTGGTTCTGAAAAAAAACAAAAACAAACAAACATACAAAAAAACTATAGAATAGTCAGGAAGGTCTTTGGGCTGAGACAGCCCAGGGACAGTGATATCTGGACCCTGGCCCTAGAACTGGCATGGCCTGCACACCTTGTGATACCAGCAAAATCCAGGAAGAGCCTAGGTCCTGCCTATCTAGTGGGTTGGAAATTTCTCCATCTCTTTCACCTTCTAGGGTGCAGAAATACTCCCCTTTCCTCTGATGCTCTGATTTTTCTCCTCCCCAGAAGCTGGTGGGGTAAGGATTAGATAGGATGGATCATCTTTGGCATTCACCTTATTTGGAAGGGCTAACAAGAAAAGAAAGGCATCTTCCACTTTCCAGCCCAGTGTGAGGGGACAGACAGCAGACCCTGGGCTGCCTTTTGGAATTGAGAGTCCTGCCCCCAATATCTGCCAGAGAACACACTTAGGGGAGAAAGAAGACTTGGGAAAGCCCCCTGCAGGGAAGCCAAGGGGTCTCATCTGCAGCATACCCCCCATCCCCCACCCATCACTTCCTTATCCTGTTTCAGAGGTAGAAAAGGTTTATGCTGGTCTGGAATATGGACCCCTTTTACTTGAAGGGAGGAGAAAACTTCAAAAACGTCACATCTGACTCCCCAAACCCACTTTTTAGTACCCAGGATCAGAAAACTGGATCTTCCCTGCCATCACCCTTTGGTGAAAGGAAAGGGATCCAGGGGCAGGGCCTCAGCCCTGCTGGCAGCCCTAGACTTTAAGTAGTGGTGCCAGTAGCAGTTAATAATGATAATAAATACCACACTTCATAACCAAATCCAAGCCGAGGATGACTGAATGATTGGACCTCTGCCTCCCACCTGCGTGCTGTTTCTCTGCGAGTCCACATCCTCCCGGGCAGCCTCAGTTCCACCCACCACCTTCAGCCTGGGGTTCAAAGGAATGGCTGCTCCCCAGGACCAGCGACGTGGAGCAGCACACTGCCCCTTAGCAGAGCCACAGGGAGTGGGGTGGTAGGTAGGGGCGGTTTGGTTTTATCTTTATTATTTAGTATCAGAAAATAATAAAAATATGGTGGTAATTTTGGCCTCCTGAGCTCGGTTTAGTTTTTCCGCGAAGCACAGGATCCCCAGCTCCCACCCGGAGCTCTAGAGCTCCCGGGGACCTCAGTGTCCTCCTTGTCCCCTAGGGCCTCGCACTCCCTGGCCCCGCAGTCCAGGGGCCTTCACCTTCCCTGGGCGGCGGCCACAGGTCCCTCCCGGCCCCTCCGAGGTCTGCGGCCGCCGAAGTCGGGGTCTCAGGGCGTCAGGGAGCAACCAGGCCGCGGGGAGGGAGGCCGGCGCCGGCGCGGAATTTCTTTATCGGGATTTGGGAGCCGCGAGCTTCTCCTTAGCTTCTTTAAGCGATCACGGAAAGACACCTTTCGATCTTTTGTCAGACATCTTGGCCCTTAATAGCTAAATTTATTTGGTTTAAAGCGGCCATGGGAGAAGCAGGGAGGGAAGATCTTTCGTCGGTCATTGGGTGGCCTAGATAACAGGCTTGAAGAGAGAGGGGAGAAGAAAGTAAAAAGGTTAATGGATGAGGGGAGGGCTGGAGGCGCCCGGCGAGGGGCTTGGAAGGCGACCCTCCCCCGGCCGCCCCCTTATCGCGGCCCGAACTTACCCGCGGCGAAGCGAGTACATTAAGTCACGTAAACAGCGCGGAGAGGAATGCCACCGTGGTGACCTCTCGCGCGCCGCCGCCGCGAGCCCACCTCCGCGCCGTGCTGACGGCAGCCGGCGGCGCGCGGGGGTCGGCCGGGGGCTGCGCTGGGCGAGGGGCCTCAGGGCCGGGCCGGGCCTGCGCCGCGCGCAGGGCCTCGATGCTGTCCCCCCGGGGACCCCGGCACAGGTTCTGCGCGGTCCTTCCCAAAGCGGCCGGCGGCGGGGAGCCCGGGCAGAGGGTGGGGGCGACCTTCAAGCTCCAGCCGCCACCACCTGACGTTTCTAAAGAGTGTTTTTAGTTCCGAGAATTAAAGAAAATCGCCGCCAGACTAGTCGACGGCCTGCGGTGCAAGTGCGGCCACAGAGTTGGTGACAAGCCGCCCGGACCCCGCCGCTGGGCCCGGACGCTGGCAGGGGCTGGGGTCTCGGAGATGACCCCGGGTCCTTGGGTAGAAGCGTCCCCGGGACGGGAAGAAATACGGTATAAGCGAGTAAGCCTCATAAAAAAATCTAAGTTAAAAATATGTTTTAAGTCAGAAATGCATTCTTTTTCTTTATGAAACATCGCTGGAGCAGCCAGTTTTGTGACAGGGTCGTAAAAATGAGCGTGAGTTGGCGCGGGTGGAGGTGCTCGGGGACGCGGGTCCTTGCCCGGGTCTCGCCGCTCCTCCGGAAGCGGCGCACGACTGGGTCCTCAAACACCCTTCCCGTTTGGCAGCCAAGCCCCCGCCCCCTGCCCAATTGGCTGCAGTGTTCTGGGTGGATTCGAATCGTGAATCGTGGTATGGTGCGGCCCAAATAAATCAACCCTGGGGACAGGTCGCGCCCGGGAGTCAGCCCTCTGTGAGGGTAATGGGGACCGCTCGCCCAGGAGGAGCAGCTCATTGGGTCTAAATAGTCCTGAGAGAAACAGTTTCGTTCAAGATTAGCAAATCCCGAAAGAGGAGACAGACGGGGTGAAAGAAAAAATAAAAAAAGGAAAGGAAGGAAAAGAAAAGAAAAAAATACCGACAAAGAAAACAAGAACTTTTAAGAGCTTGTCCGTGTACCTTGGACACTAGTGGGGGTCTTCTTCCTAGCTCTTGGGGTTCTCCCTTGTTTGGGGTTCACCTCTTCCCTCCGAACTTCCTAGTTTGCTGGCTTTTCAGACCAGCTGGGGCGCGCCCAGGAAGCTCCACGCTCGGGCCTGGGGCTCATGGGAGTGGCTTTGAAAGCATGCTTGTCTTCCCCTGTGTGGTCCCTAGGGCCAAAGATGCACTGGGGAAAAGGCACACTGGAGAGGTCAGGCAGCCTGGTTTTCTGTCTGAATCAACTGTACGAGTTAAACAGTTTTAATTTTTAAATTAACCAACATTAAAAAAAAACAAAACAGCATTCAGTACTCATTCCCTCGTTTGATGGAAAACCAGTCTGAAAAAAAAAAATACAATCTGTGACCATGAAAAGGAGCAATCACTTATTTTTCTCATTTGTTTTGATTATTTTAAAAATTAGATAGGGAATCTGGAGGGTAAAATGCCGGGTCCCTTCCCGAGCTCTTAGAGCCCGAACGTTGTCGAATCGGTCAACGTCCATCCCGCCGCTCACCTCCGTCCCAGCAGCGCCAGGGCCAGCTCGCCCTCCCGCTGCGTCTGCGGAGCTGCGGCAAAAACAGGGCCCCGAGGGTATCAGTGTCCAGGAATATCGGTGCAGACATCCTTGTACTTGCAAATACAAAGAAACACACAGGACAGGGATCAGGCTCGCGCCAGGGCTCGATCTCCTCGGGGTTCAGGGTTGGAGGCCGTTCACAGCCTGGACTCAAACTGAGCCAAAGAGTTTTATTTTTAGCAAGTAAGATGATTTTTTAAAAATTACTTTTAATAGCAAACCTGAGAAACATTATTTCAAAACGTTGAAATCAAAGGAAATCAAATGTCCACAACACATTTCCGTCACTGTTTACAAATGAGCTTCTGCAAAACCCAGTCCACTTAAACATTTGGTCGGAACTCACGAAAAGAACCAAAAGCAAGGCATTCCGAGTCCTGGCGGGGGTTGAGTGGCTGGGCGGACGCCTGGCTATCTCATCTGGAAGTCGCACATTCGATCGCACTCAGGTTAAAATTTAAAGCCTCTGGATCCTGCTCCAGTCGCCAGCCTCTCCATTCCAGAGTTTTCTACCTTCAGCCTTTTCAAAATGCGGCCACGCTGAAACTGGGAGCCGTCAAAATGATTGGGGGAGGCAAAGTAGAATGTAATAAAAGTGACTAAATTGGACAAGAACGGTTTCTGGACCTTCTCGGTAGCAATTTAAAATTCAGAAGTGTCTAGCAGCAATTTACAACGAAGAAGGAAAAAAGAAGAATTATCGCCAACTTCCTGAATTCCTCGCCCCCTCCCCCTCACTGCCAGGCCAGTCCCCACGTCCCCGCTTCCCCAGGAGCCACAAGTTCACAACTCACAGTTACGTGCAGAGGAAACAACGCTTAGCGACGAGGTCTCACCATCTCTGGAAACCATACTTTACAACGCACCTCCCCACCCCAGTTCAACTCTGCACAGGCTCCTTTTCCCTCCCTAACCGGGAAAACACGAACGTAAAAACAAAACAAAAAACCAGACGCTTAACACTTTCTGGGAGACTGACCTTTAGAAAATAATTTACTTCGATTTACCTTGTGTGTTTGGGGGTGGGGGGTGGGGTTTAAAAATGCATTATCACAAAAACAACTCCTCTTGTCTTAAAGTTTCCCTCGGCCGCCTTCTGGGGTCACGTCTGTCGGAAGAAATCCTTTCTGTGAGCGAAAGGGAGAGACATATATCACGGCTCCCGCAGCGGACGAGCCTGCGGCCGCGCGAGTCACTGTGACAGATAGGCGCTGATAACCCCGCGACGTTCATTTCCAGTCCCTTTGCCCGCTAGGGACCGTATCAGTTTGTACAGAGTTGTGATAACCGTTTGGAGGGAGCGAAGAAGGGGTGTGTATATGGACGTGGGGGTGGGGAAGCCGTATTAAGCGCTGGGTCCAGGGAAGGTGACACCCCCTCTTCGCAATGACTTATCTGCGATTTACCTGAAACTATCCCCGGGGAAAGCTCAGAACAAACGGGACATCTAAAGTTGAAGTGCGTCCTCGAACGCGACTGATGTGGAAACCCTTTTGCATTTTGAGCGCCCGGTAGACTGCCATTCTGTACAGGATGACCCAAGTTAAAAGTTCCCAAAGGTCAGCTGGGGAATGTCGTAGTGAGGTATCTGAAACTTCCCGGGAATTTATATATTTAAGAGCAGTAAAGCTAGGGAGCTAGGCACTGGGTTCCTGCTTTTCCAGATTGTTGGAACCCGGGTCCTTGACAGCCACCAACACCTGAGCCATGCTAGGGCATCCCGAGATAGGGTCGGAGAAAGTTTAAGGTCAGTCTCACACAACTGTAGAGCAAAAAGCTCATTTGCTGTGAAGGGGCTAGGCGGGGGTGGGGGGGGGGGCACAGCACGTTCCCTCCTCCTTCTGGGGGCGTGCTGACCCAGGGGCTGGAGAGCCCCTCCCCTCGTGGCGGCGAAGTGGAGCTGTGCACTGCCAGCTCCTCCGGTGCCAAGGCTCCCTCCGCCTCCCTCGTGTGGGTGTGTGTGCGACTGCGGGAGCAGGAGAGTGCACCGCCGCTGGGTGGGTGAGAGTCGCCAGCCAGGTTAGGCGTTCTGTGGCCCTCGCCCCTCCCCCGGCGTCCCTGGTCTCAGTGCCCCCGGGTGGACTCGCCCCCACTCCGGGGATAGAGCTCAGGGCTCAGCCTACGCCCGCAGGCATCGCGGCGCTCATTGTCTGCCTGGGCGGCGCGCTCCCCTCCCCCTCGCCGTCCCCTCCCCACCCTCTTTTCTCTCCTCCCCTCGATCCCTCCTCCTCCTCTTCACCTCCAGCGCCCAGCTGCTCGCCGAGCGCAGTTCCGACCCACCGCCTGGCACCCTTCGGCGAGCGCTGTTTGTTTAGGGCTCGGTGAGTCCAATCAGGAGCGCAGGCTGCAGTTTTCCGGCAGAGCAGTAAGAGGCGCCTCCTCTCTCCTTTTTATTCACCAGCAGCGCGGCGCAGACCCCGGACTCGCGCTCGCCCGCTGGCGCCCTCGGCCTCTCTCCGCGCCTGGGAGCACCCTCCGCCGTGGCTGTTCTCCAAGCGCAGCGCCAGCCCGAGGTTCGGCTGCTTCCTCCTCGCCCGATCTCCCCGCTTCCCTCCCCTTCACCCTTACTTCTCCTGGTCCCCTTGGCCTCCGGCTCTCCGGCCCTCTCCAGGCCGCATTCAGCTCCGAGGGTGTCTCCCTCCTCCCCTCCGGGCGGGCTGTAGCGGCTCCCAGGCTCCCGGGACGCCGCGGACCGACTTCTAGTCTCTTTTCCTCTCCTCGAAGCGCTTATCTGCGCCCAGTTTTATCTCCGAGTTATCTCGGCTCAAAGGGGCGGGAGCGGGTAGTCAGGCAGGCAGAGAAACTTTTTTCTTGCTATCTAGCCAGGTCTCTCTGTGTGGGCATTAATTTTAGTGTGGTAATCTCCGATGAGCCCTGGCGATTTGGAAGAGCAGCCTGGAGGAGGCCACCCTGGCTGCATTTCGCCTTCCTCCCCCACTCTCTCCGAGTCTCCCTGTCATTCTTCCGGCTCTCAACTTTGGGGTCGCCTCGGCTCTGGGGCGGTCTCATGCCCCCCCAACTCCTTGCGTTACCCCCTCCTTTTCTCTGCGCTCCGCTCCACCCCGCTACGTCCGATTCCGGAACGGTCCGGCCTTTCTGCTGCTAGGGATGACTGCGGGGAGGGCCGGGTGGCTCCGCAGGCGTGAGCGCTCGCGCTGGTGGCAGCAGGCGCAGGCCGTGTCTAAGGTGTGGGGCGCCGCGGGGACGCCGGTAGGGTTGGCGACTCCCGCCCCGCGAGCTCCCCGTACTGCCTCTGCCGGGAAGGACCCGGGCTGCTGTCCCCGCCCTGACGTCCCACTTTCCCTGGGCCGAGTTGCGTTTCTCTCTGGAGCTCGCAGCGCAGTCCGGAAAGCTCCGGGAGAGCCAATACAGGAGAACGCGGTGGTTTCGTTTTCCGGGACAGGTTGCCTGCCTTCCTTATGCAAACCGTTTTCCCGCGGGGAACCCTCACCCCGAGGCATCCGCAGAAAGGCGGGATGCGGCGATGCCGACAGGCACAGCTACTTAAATTCTTTCGTGTGTCATCAGCCCCGGGGAGGCACTTTAGGGCGGAAAGGAAGCCCCAGCCAGCTTCTGCAGATCACCCCTGAGGTCTGGCGCGCGCACGGAGAAAGGATGCGACCGAGAGGGTGGGCGGCTAGGGCGCGGGACCGGAGCGGTGCCTGGGAAGGAGGGCTGGTATCCCAGTCTTACCATGGCCCTGTGGCGGCTGCGCAGGCTCCATTCGTCTCTCCCTTCTCAATCCTCACGCCCCGGGCAGAAATGGGATCTTTGAGAAGCCTCAAATGGGATCTTAGACTTCTGAAAGATCCCATTGGAGGTGGATCCCGTTTAAACTAGAAAAAGGATTGGAGGCGAGGTGGTGTGCAGCCGAAGCTCTTGGTAACCCGTCTGTGTCTCCTACCGTCCCCGTCTCCCCCACCCCGCCTCAGGACCTAGACGTCAGCTTGGAGCGGCGCGGGACCGTGGATGGCCTTGACTGACGGCGGCTGGTGCCTGCCGAAGCGCTTCGGGGCCGCGACTGCGGACACCGGCGACTCCGGGGCCTTTCCAGCGCGGGAGCCCTCCACGCCACCTTCCCCCATCTCTTCCTCGTCTTCCTCCTGCTCCCGGGGAGGGGAGCGGGGTCCCGGCGGCGCCAGCAACTGCGGGACGCCTCAGCTCGACGCGGAGGCAGCGGCCGGACTCCCGGCCCGCTCGCTGCTGCTCAGCTCCTACGCTTCGAATCCCTTTGGAGCTCCCCACGGACCTTCGGCGCCTGGGGTCGCCGGCCCCGGGGGCAACCTGTCGAGCTGGGAGGACCTGCTGCTGTTCACTGACCTCGACCAGGCCGCGACCGCCAGTAAGCTGCTGTGGTCCAGCCGCGGCGCCAAGCTGAGCCCCTTCGCACCGGAGCAGCCGGAGGAGATGTACCAGACCCTCGCCGCCCTCTCCAGCCAGGGTCCGGCTGCCTACGACGCCGCGCCTGGCGGCTTCGTGCACTCTGCGGCCGCGGCGGCAGCAGCCGCGGCGGCGGCCAGCTCCCCGGTCTACGTGCCCACCACCCGCGTGGGCTCCATGCTGCCAGGCCTGCCGTACCATCTGCAGGGCTCCGGCAGCGGGCCAGCCAACCACGCAGGCGGCGCGGGCGCGCACCCTGGCTGGCCCCAGGCCTCGGCCGACAGCCCCCCATACGGCGGCGGAGGCGGCGCCGCGGGCGGCGGGGCCGCGGGGCCTGGCGGCGCTGGCTCGGCCGCGGCGCACGTCTCGGCGCGCTTCCCCTACTCGCCCAGTCCGCCCATGGCCAACGGCGCCGCGCGGGAGCCGGGAGGCTACGCGGTCGCCAGCAGCGGGGGCGCGGGAGGCGTGAGCGGCGGCAGCGGCAGCCTGGCGGCCATGGGCGGCCGCGAGCACCAGTACAGCTCGCTGTCGGCAGCGCGACCGCTGAACGGGACGTACCACCACCACCACCACCACCATCCAAGCCCCTACTCGCCCTACGTGGGGGCGCCGCTGACGCCCGCCTGGCCCGCCGGACCCTTCGAAACCCCGGTGCTGCATAGTCTGCAGAGCCGTGCCGGAGCCCCGCTCCCGGTGCCCCGGGGCCCTAGCGCAGGTAAGGGTCGCGCCTAGAGGTGGGAGTGCGGGTCCGAAGGGCTGGGACACATGGGGGACGTGGAGCAGCTACTCCACTCGGGCCCTGTTTTCAGGCCTTTCTTGTCCGAGTGCATGGAGGTCGGCTTGGTCCCAGGAAGGTTTGCAGGCCTGTGGCTGGGTGATCAAAGTCTGGTAGCACTGAGGCGATTCTGTTGTGCCAAGTTCCTTTCCACGGAAGAGACCAAATGCACATCTGCACCTTCGTGCCTTGGAGAAGCTCTCAGGGTCTTGATGACTAGTGAATGGCGTCTGCTATTGGGGTAAAAAAGAGGCTGGGAGGGAACTAACAGAGCTTGAGTCCCATCGCAGACCCTACTTTGGGCGAGTGGAGGAAATTCCACGATGGGGGTAAGTTTGGGAGAGTGGTAGGCACATGATCCACCACCAAACACGCACATATGTACATGCAGGCTCACCCAGTTGAACTCTCCAAAGGGTGCGTGTGTTTTCCTAGAGAAGGGTATTTAGAAGAAGAGCACAACAGAAGGACCTAGATATCCTGGGGAAGCGAGTTGGCATCTCCCCTCCCACAAGGGAGACAAGGAAAGAAAAAATGAGAGGACACCTGGAGTGGTCAGACTTGTGACTTCATCCTGAAGGAGAGCTGTTGGATAGGCCCTTGGGCTTGGCATCAGCTGGGCCCTGGTCTGGGACTGGTGCTCGCATGGCTAGGCTGCAACCCGGGGGTCCTGGAGCTGGAGCACCTATTCCTTAAAAATTTAGCCCACCAATTTTTCAGCTTCCAATTTGACTCATACTTTAATTCCTGTGACTGGGAGCCATTAGGGGGTAAACCGTGAAAACATTATTGCCAAAAAATACATGGAAGTACCTCATTTTGAAAAGTGTTTTGTTTACTCTAACAGAAGAGGGTGTTTAGGCTCCTTTTCTCAGCTGCAACATTCTGCATCCTTGGTGCTTTCAGCTGGCTCTTCTTACTGTATATTTCACCTGTTTGATAATCTTTCCTCTAAGGAAACAGCACTTTTTTGTTGTTGTTTGAAGGTAGGTGTGGGGGAGGCCCCTTGAGTCACAGGGGTGGCAGAGCATAGGGAGGGACATTAGTCCAAACAGTCCTACCCCGATGTCTTGTGTGCCCCAGGTCTGTGCTTCTCGTGGGAGCCTCCATGCTACCTTTAGAGACATTCCCAGCGTTGTGTGCAAAAGACACAAGAGACACAACCTTGTGTGCTCAAAATACAAGAGGCTTGAAAGTGAAGGGACTAATTTGAACAGCTTTCTGCTGCCTTGCAAGGAGGCAACA